GCACTTAGTGTGCACAGTATTAAAAAAAAATCTGGGAGGAATTAGTACCCTGTGGGAGCACCAGTTTAATTGAGTGGCAGCTAGAACAAATAGTGTGGCAAACACCAGGGATTCACTGATGCCATGTCACATTAACACTCCTATTTTAAGAGGAAAGAAAATATTGGTTAGATAAATACATTAGTGAATGTGGGTGGGTATGAGTTGGACCTGACTAGCTTGTGCTACTAGGTCTGATGTCATGCTCCTTCCTTCAATGGATGTGCCCTGACTAGGTGGGTCATTGGTCTAAGCCGGGGGTGGGGGGGGTGACATGGACCTACCTTGCATGGGCCAGTAGGACTGCTGCAGTGTTCCTTCTTTCTTATGTTCTAATGTATTCAGCAGGCTGGCCAGCTGGCTGTCTCTCTGTCTATATATCTGTCAGTATCTCTGTCTATCTATATCTGTATCTATACCTCTGTCTATATATCTCTGTCTATCTGTATCTCTGTTTGTCTATACGTATCTGTATAACTCTGTCTATCGATATCTGTCTCACATGTACACGTAAGTACAGTTATTATACATAGTGTAAATTACCTAGGATAACCCAGAAATTCCAGGCAAAGTTAGACATACAGATAGACAGATGGACAAACATGTTTGTGTGTATCAGTGAAGACAAATAAAGCCAGGGTTCCCCCGAGTGCCCATTTATCAAATGTCACTGAGCTGATAAGAGTTGTCATAACATCATTCTTCAAGGAGTGTGATATATGTATACTCAAGGCAGACAGAAAGACATAAGCAGAGACAGACAGGCAGTCATATAGACAGAGATACAGACAGGCAGATAGACAGGCAGATAGACAGGCAGATAGACAGGCAGATGACAGGCATATAGACAGGCAGATAGACAGGCAGATACAGACAGATAGACAGACAGATAGACAGACAGATAGACAGACAGATAGACAGACAGATAAGACATGTTTGTGTGTAACAGTGATAAATACAGCTGAGGGTTAACGGAGCAGTGGGCATTTATCAAATGTCACTGGGCTGTCAAGAGTACAGGGATGCCTTTCATAACACCATGTTTCAAGGATGCCTTTCGTAACACCATGCTTCAAGGTATATGCCAGGGCATCTAAAACATTGCTGGGACCTATAAATATTTGTATATATTTCTAGACAATAGAAAATAACCCAGGCAGGTGTAAATGTTCATCTGTCACTGTAATTGTGACTATTTGAGCACTATTTCAGTACCTAATATTAGTGTCAGAATAAAGATTGGCTATGAAATCACAAGAACTATTATAAATTGTAATTATCAGAACATAAAAAAATATATAAATTAAAATAAAAACGAGAAAAAAGGTATATCGGCAACACTTCTGCAAGCGGCAGGAGTCGATGTTGCCATCAGGTGAGCATCCAGAGCCAACTTCACGGTCTTATATCTCGGTAAGTACCGACCCCCCCCAAAATTTTTTTAATCCTATAACATGTAGAAAAAATGTGCTCTTCATTTAAAAAAAAAAAAAAGATTTTTTATTTTTCAAAATATTCGGAGCGCCACGCGAGTGAACATAGATCTACATTTGGACAGTTTAAGGGTTAAGGCAAAAATGGTGTGCTTAATAAAATGCATAATTTTCTTAACAGGTTAATAGTTTTTACCATTGAACAAAGAGGTATACAGTGGAACCTCAAATTTCGAACGTATCGCTTATTGAACTTGTCGAAAATCGACCGCTTTTTTTGAACCAACTTTGTCCCTATTATTGAACTAGCCCCTATTTTCGAACCACCGGGTACCAGACCCATCCGCCTTCTTCAAAGATTAAGGAGATCTGCGCCAAGTGGAATGATGTCCAAATGTTTGTGGAGAAGTACCACCCTGAGCAAGCTGAAACAAGCCATCTTTGCAACAAGTTCAGTGACAAAACCATGTCCCATTTTAGGGAAATCTTAAAGAGGCACCAGAAACAGAGGACTGTGGACAATTATTTTGTGAGATAGGGGTCCAGTGACTCTCAAGCTGGTCCTAGTGGCATCTTGGTGATGGCATCTTCAATAAAGGTAAGTAAAAATGTTATTTTATATGTTTATTTAAATTTATTAATACATAATTGTACACTATATTTGTTGTGTATGTAAAACTATAACTAATCTCTATAAAATGTATTTTTTTTTTTGTGAATATTTTTGGGTTTCTGGAATGGATTAATTGTATTTCCATTATTTCTCATGGGAAATATTGCTTCACTTTTCAAACTTGTCGAATTTAAAACTAGTTCCCGGAATGGATTAAGTTTGAAATTTGAGGTTCCACTCTACAGTGGTACCTTGACTTAAGAGTGCCCCAACTTATGAGTTTTCCGAGTTAGGAGCCATCACATGGTCGATTTTTTGCTTTGAACTGCGAGCCAAAATCCAAGTTACAAGTGAGCTTCAGATACACCGCCACTAGTTGGCGCAGTGAACGCCACAACAGTGCACATGGTTACCTTGCCATGGAAGCATCTCTCGTGTTGTATGTACTTGCATTTTGTGCAGTTATTTTGGCAGATGGTAACTCGACACCACCACCAGCCTTGAAACGCTGCACCCAGTTCCTCACTGAACATTTACACATACTAACATTCTCCATTATTTCTTTCACCTGGTGCCCAGCTTTGTGAAGCTCTATAATTTGAAGTATAGTTTCAGGTGTTAACCCTTTCACTGTCGCAACCCCAAATCCTGAGGTGTCTCCTGGTGTCGCAAAATACTTTAATTTTTTTTTCTTATGAAATGATAGAGAATCTTTTCCTGATGGTAATGACACCAAAAGTACGAAATTTGATGGAAAACTTACGGAGTTACGCTCTCGCAAAGCTGGCGACCTCAGCGATATTTACGAATCGGCGATTTCGCCCACTTTGAGCCCTATTTTTGGTTAATTCCACTGTTCCAATCGACCAAACTCATAACTATTTCTTTAGAACTCCATTTGTTCTATTGATTGAGTGCAAGAAACTGCCCATTTGCTGATTTCAACTACCCAATAAAGTGGTCAGAAATTGGCAATTTGGCCAATTTCACACAAATTAAAATATATGCCAGTTTCAAAATAGGGTCCAGAATGAACAATGCAGACATTCCTGGCTCTAAAATAACATTTTCTTTGTTCATCAGTCATGTCTCCAGGCCCCTCTGGTATTACTCTTGCTTTCTATTTTGAATTTTTATTCAAACAAAAAATATAAGATTTACTGTTATGCAGACTACTGCAATATTGTAATAATTGTAAAAATAGTGTCAACCCATTCATGACTGCATATTAGAATGGCTCGTTGGACATTTATTGGACAATGACATCATTTGTTTCCTCTTGAACATCGGCAAAAATCAAACATTTCCCCTACTTTGAGCTCTATTTCAAGGTCCTTTTCATAGTAAAACCAATCAAAATCACCTCTATTTCTATAATATGTTTTTCATTCTATCCAATGTGACTACGAAAACGAGAATAATAACCATAAATCCTTTTTGAAAATACACTTCAAAGTTAGCGTTTTAATCCAAAAGCACGGTCGGAGTTTTTTCTTTTTCTCATTATGCACTGCGTGCTGCAGGATTTTTTTTACAGTGCACACTGATCACACAGACCCATTCTCTCACATGTGTACCTACCAGCTTTCTCCTGCTTGATTTGAAGCCACTAGAATTTTTGAGTATGTATACATCAAACACATTGGCTCGTAAGACGTATATATACTATGACCGAAACAGTCAAAGGGTTAAAGACTTCCTTTTACCATAATCAAACATGTATAGCCCCAAAACCAAAGGGAACACTGGACGAAAGGTGGGGCGGATGAGAGACAACAGTGCAATACTTCCTCTCACCACGGCAGCCACGTGATCAATGAGAAGTCACTGTGAAGTGTGGCAGCAGACCGAGACATCATGCTAATGGCTAGTACCCAGCAGAATGCACTGACGAAAAAAGACCCCCCTGTATGGTAGGCCTTTGATTTTCGTCATGGCATTTTGCCGGGGCACTCACCCGGCATAATGTTTTGACAAGCTCTGTATTTCATATCCTCCACACTTCATCCGATTTTTTCTTTTTTAACAAGTCGGCTGTCTGCCACCTAGGCAGGGTGACCCAAAAAGTAAGAAAATTCCCAAAAAGAAAATACTTTTATCATCATTCAACACTTTCACCTCACTCATACATAATCACTGTTTATTCTGCTACATCCATCTATTTCTTCAATTGAAATAGTACAGCTGGGACATATTGTTTTGCTATTTTTATAGCTTCTCATGCCATGCATCTAGGCTACAGTAATCTCATTCACCATCTTGTATATGGGACAACTGAACCCATCAAAATTTGGAATATAACAAGTAGTGCACACCTTAACAGTATATTCTGAGCACATTAATGGAATTCCACTCTCTCTTCCTGCATCAGAACGAGGCAGTCTGGAGTTGTGCAATAGCTAGAACTCATCCTTATGCTGAGAGACTTGTGAAGTCAGGAGAGAATACTTCACTAATTTCGCTAATATTGCGTGCCCTTGATGTGAGAGATCCACAATGTCTCTTGACACAGACTTTGAAAAACATTCCTCCTTTCCACTTATTATTAAAAAGTCTTTGTTGGTGATGGCTGTGCCCATTTGGAGTGCGATAGATTCTTTGCATTGAGAGTGTCCTATGGAGGCCCTTAATGTTAATGGATCAAAAGTATGTTGCACATTTAGGTCTTCTTTTGTAATGGTTTAATGTATTTCCAAATGACTAGCTGCTCATCTTTCCTTTGAAAATACTTCAATTTACTCTTACATTATTTTACTTTAGAATCCATAAGAAAATTGTTAAAGAGGGTGAATTGTTTATTGAACAGGATGTACCCCATCCCCACCCCAACAGGTAAGGAATAAAAGATAATCGTAATGAAATTATAATTGCATAAACATTATTGCTGAACCTGATTAATATTTCTTCTTTTTAAGGTTACTCGAGAAATTATACACAACATGATGGTCGTCCTTGGTGCTGAAGAGCTGGAACCTGAACCTGTGTGTACTCCAGGTGATTCTGCTGCCTCATCAAATTTACACAAACCTGAAAAAAAAATTATGTACGGCATTAGTGGTAAAAAAGTTAAGGGAGATTATAATAGGGCTAATGAATCAAAATTAAAATGGACAGATAGGAGAGAATGTGATGGCTCTAGAAACAGAGGACAAAAGCATGATAGAGAGTATATAATAGACAGCTACAAAAAAAATCACATAGAAAGTGAGATTGAATATGATAAAGAGGGAAAAAGGAGCATGAAAAAAGATGAAGAAAGAAGGAATTATGATGTATCATATTACACAGATAAATATAGAAGCAGAACACATGTAACAAGAGACAAAAGGGACAGTGAAGAGAGAAAATGGGAGAGAGAATACAAAAAGGAGAGATGCAGATACAGTGATGATGATGAAAAAATAAAAAAAATTAGTGATAGGCAAAATTCTGAAAGATTTCAGAATGATATGAGTAGAGAGAAAATGGCACAGTATGACATTATATCAGTAAAATCATTTCAAAAAGGGCAGAATGTGACTGAAGAATTTGAGAACATAATAGAAAAAAATCGTGAAGACCGAGAAATTTTAAGCAATGAATCAGAGAAAATTTACAGAGACTGTAAAGCAGGTTCTTCAAAGCACCATAAAAAACATAAACTTAAGAGGAAGAAAGAAAAAAAGTCCAAGGAAAAGCAAAAGGAGAAGAGAGCTGCTCATAGTGAAAGTGAAGAGTGTGTGAGTGATGACAGTAGAAGCAGGGGTAAGAAAAAGAAGAACTGATAGTCATGCAGAAAAGCAGTATATTATAGCATGACAGAGGAATACATCTTCATAATTAGTCATAAGTAATCAACTCTACAGAAATTTTTAGTGTATTGTATTAATTTTCTTTGGAGAGCATTTCAGCATCTAATAAAAGACTGTACTCTGGCTCCATGCATCATAATTAACCCTCTTGAATGCAGGTTTCAGGTAGCCATAAATTCTAAAGACTTGTTACAGTGAAAGAAATGCATACAGTACATGCAATATGAACAAGACAAAAAAAATAGGCTATCCTGAGGTCATTGGGGCATTTAATTTTCATGTTGAAATTGATGGTAGGCACAGATACTAGAGAGTTTAAAGGGCACGTAAGTTCCCCCGTCTTCTAATAACATGTTCACTTTCCCACTATAATCGACCTTGTCCATAATTACTATGGCATTTGCTTTGTCTGTTTTGTAAGGTTAAGTCTAGGATCTTTCCTTGATTAGTGGAAATTAAGGAAAAATCCTAGACTTCACCTTACGAAAGCAGACAAAGCAAATGCGATAGTAACTATGGACAAGGTAGATTATAGGGGGAAAAGTAACATATTAGAAAAAGAGGAACTGATGTGCCCCTTAAGTTGTTACATTCTTGTTTGTGATTGTTTATATCCACTCTTGGACTTGTTAGGTGTCAACTATCCCTGCAAGTCCTCTTATTCTGGAAGACCCTCAACACCTGTTTCTCAAGAACCTGCTGCCCTAGTCTGTCCAGTCTGCTTAGCACCTTTCCTTCTCACATACACCTCAAACTCATCTGGAAAAATCTACTCAATGGATTCTACTATCTCTTGACTTTGCTTACTGCTGGGCACCTTGAAGACTCCTTTTTTTGCACTCCAACGTAGAACCACCAGACCAGTGTTCAATGAGATTAAACTTTATCACTTTTCTGGTTTCATTTACATCAGGAGAGTAATTAGCTATTCCTGTAGGGATACCTTCAAGTGGTTGACAGTTTTTTTCCCTCCAAGTTTTTTATTTGTAACTTGAAAATGTCATATCTAGTTGGCTTCAAATTTTCAATTCTGGTGAACTACAACTAGGGAGAGGTTAATGTCACCACTGGGATAGGTGGGAGCCTTTTTTGTCAGTTTTACAGTCATTCTTGAATTTTGTTTAATGGTTAGTTCTGATGTATCCTACCTAAAAGAAGGTTGGGACTGTTATTGGGTGTGTAAGTACCAGTTTTATTTTTAAAATGGTGTAGTATGTTTTTTGTGAAGTAACTTGAATGTGCTTCATCTCAGTGGTTTGAATTGTTAATGAGTCTTGCATCATGCAAAAAGGACAATATCCTGTAAGGTTTAGGGTGTTGTGGCCAGTGATGGTAAATGCAAATCAGTACTTACTAAGCAGGTGGTCTTACAGAAAGAAAAAGTCCTCTTGTTTCTCTCCTTCAACTGCATCCTACAAATACTTCTTGCCTGTATCCAAAATAATTATGAACATAGGTATGAGGGGAAAATATTAAAAACTATCATAGGACTTTTGTATTTAAAAACAATGTATCAACAAACAATGACCAATTCTAATGGCAACAAACTTAAGTTTTTTGTTGTTGATAATCTGCAACCTAATGCTGATTACCACAACCTAAGAAAGCCCTGCTAAACAGGGCTCTTGTTCAGTTTGGGGACTTGGAACGCGTAGATCGGCAGACAGATGTGATGTTAAGCATTCTGTGGACAGCCATTGGAGGTGTTGTGAAGCAATGAGATTGTTGCTACAATTGGCTAGCGTTTACCTACATAGATTATAGTGTACCGTTTCTTAACTATTCAAACCTTGTTTTTTTGCTCTTTATTCACATAAGTGAATTTGAGAATTGTCAACTTGAAGCTTCACATTTTTTTTTTTTTTTTATCACACTGGCCGATTCCCACCAAGGCAGGGTGGCCCGAAAAAGAAAAACTTTCACCATCATTCACTCCATCACTGTCTTGCCAGAAGGGTGCTTTACACTACAGTTTTTAAACTGCAACATTAACACCCCTCCTTCAGAGTGCAGGCACTGTACTTCCCATCTCCAGGACTCAAGTCCGGCCTGCCGGTTTCCCTGAACCCCTTCATAAATGTTACTTTGCTCACACTCCAACAGCACGTCAAGTATTAAAAACCATTTGTCTCCATTCACTCCTATCAAACACGCTCACGCATGCCTGCTGGAAGTCCAAGCCCCTCGCACACAAAACCTCCTTTACCCCCTCCCTCCAACCTTTCCTAGGCCGACCCCTACCCCGCCTTCCTTCCACTACAGACTGATACACTCTTGAAGTCATTCTGTTTCGCTCCATTCTCTCTACATGTCCGAACCACCTCAACAACCCTTCCTCAGCCCTCTGGACAACAGTTTTGGTAATCTCGCACCTCCTCCTAACTTCCAAACTACGAATTCTCTGCATTATATTCACACCACACATTGCCCTCAGACATGACATCTCCACTGCCTCCAGCCTTCTTCTCGCTGCAACATTCATCACCCATGCTTCACACCCATATAAGAGCGTTGGTAAAACTATACTCTCATACATTCCCCTCTTTGCCTCCAAGGACAAAGTTCTTTGTCTCCACAGACTCCTAAGTGCACCACTCACTCTTTTCCCCTCATCAATTCTATGATTCACCTCATCTTTCATAGACCCATCCGCTGACACATCCACTCCCAAATATCTGAATACATTCACCTCCTCCATACTCTCTCCCTCCAATCTGATATTCAATCTTTCATCACCTAATCTTTTTGTTATCCTCATAACCTTACTCTTTCCTGTATTCACCTTTAATTTTCTTCTTTTGCACACCCTACCAAATTCATCCACCAATCTCTGCAACTTCTCTTCAGAATCTCCCAAGAGCACAGTGTCATCAGCAGAGAGCAACTGTGACAACTCCCACTTTATGTGTGATTCTTTATCTTTTAACTCCACGCCTCTTGCCAAGACCCTCGCATTTACTTCTCTTACAACCCCATCTATAAATATATTAAACAACCACGGTGACATCACACATCCTTGTCTAAGGCCTACTTTTACTGAGAAATAATTTCCCTCTTTCCTACATACTCTAACTTGAGCCTCACTATCCTCCTAAAAACTCTTCACTGCTTTCAGTAACCTACCTCTTACACCATACACTTGCAACATCTGCCACATTGTCCCCCTATCCACCCTGTCATATGCCTTTTCCAAATCCATAAATGCCACAAAGACCTCTTTAGCCTTATCTAAATACTGTTCACTTATATGTTTCACTGTAAACACCTGGTCCACACACCCCCTACCTTTCCTAAAGCCTCCTTGTTCATCTGCTATCCTATTCTCCGTCTTACTCTTAATTCTTTCAATAATAACTCTACCATACACTTTACCAGGTATACTCAGCAGACTTATTATTCAGCTATATAAGTTTCAATTTGCATATTTTCATTAAATTGTGATATTGATTTCAGTGCAATAACTGGATGTCTCTTCTATTCAACTTCAGACTGTTAATGCTGGATTATCTTATATATACAAGGTTGGGTTTGATCTTGGATCGCGTAGGTGCCATTTTGCTAATTTACCAGTTGTTGGTCCAGGTTAGAGAACAAGAAGCTGCTGTCACTTTTGAGAACTGGTTCTCTCACTTCATATTGGCCACTCATGAATCTTGCATAGCTATCCCTTGGGGAGGCACCCATAGCCTCTCTGTGTGAAATTTGTTTGGTTTTGGTAAGGGTTAAATACCTTTTGATTGATTTTACATTTATGAAAGAGTATGTAGAATTTATTTCTAGTTTTTTAAGTTCCCTCATTTTGCCTGCTCTTTCAGAAAGTTGTATCTTTAATACACGCATTATGGCTTTTTGACTGAACCCGACTTGTTACACCAACTTTGACTTTCCTTGTTTTGCTCATAAGTTCATTCTTTGTACATTACACTATTTCCAATTTCTTGGATGAAGAGCCCTTCATTAATATAAGGAAAACTCCCCTTCTTGCCCCCCCCCCTTGAAAAGATCACAAGATCTTCCTTGGGTGAAATATTCTTAACCCTTTCACTGTCTAGACTCCCAAAATTAGTATTGTTATCAGTGTTCAAAGTTAAAAAAAAAGGATTCTTCCAGAATGATAGAGAATAATTTTCTGAAGGTAATGGCACCAAAGGTATGAAATATGAAGGCGCAATTTACACATTGGTGATTTTGCCCACTTTCAGTCTTATTTTAACCAATTCCAATGCTCCATTTCACCCAAATTCTTATCTGTTTTGCTAGTAAGTCTTCCATTCTATTGATTGAGCACCTCTTCAAGGGGGGGGCTCCTTGGTGTGGTGAAGAGGCTATTGGTCTGAGGAATTAGACCTGTCGGTCTCCTTCCTCAGACTGAACCTAGTTACCCCCTAATCCCCCCTTTTCTCTCCCATCCTCCCCTTTTTTCTTTCCTCCTCCTCCCCACCCCTCCCTTTTGCCCTTCCTTTTTGGCCTTTGGGATTTTTTCCCACAGGCGCGCTAGTTCCTAGGTAGGGAAAAGGGTACCGGGGTCCATCCCATTCCATTGAGGTTCTTGGCGGTGGCGTAGTTTGCCATGGAATCTGGATTGCCTGGGGATGTCCCGATCCCTCTCTGGTATCCCGGAGGGTGGCTTTGGGTGTCTTTCGGGCGACGGGTGTATCTCTGGAAGCCACATTTCGGATTCCGGGGGTGGTGGCCGAAGGAGGTATGCTTTGTGGCGGATATCCGGCCGCCCTCTCTTTTGTCCACCGAGGTAGCTCGGCAGATGTGAGGTTGCTATCCCGGATTGCTGGTTTACTGGCATGATGGGTAGGGTATGGCACGGGTTCCACGCTGCATCTGCGCTACTTGCGGTGCTGAGGTCCTCTTGGGTGCAGAGGGAGATTTCTGGCCCTTTCATTCCTCCTAGGAACTATCCCTCCCCGGTCCCCCCTTTTTTTATTTTTTTTTTTTTATTTTTATTTTCTTCTTTCTTTTTTTTTCTTAAAAACAAAAAGAAAGAAGTAACCTAACCATGGAGTACCCGATCCATGACCCCGCTACCCCCGGGCTCCTTATTGTTACTGCACCCTGTTCTGACCTTGCCTCGTCTTTTGGCCACTCTTCGGACATTCCTAAGGCCCCTGTACCTCTTGCTGGTGCTGTTTCCTCACCCGCTTCGGGTACCGGGGCTTCCACTGACTCCTTCGATTTGTCTGACCTCCTCTCTCCTTTGACTATGCTTCCGGCTTCTCCCTCTACCGTGCGGTGATTTTCGAATCGCCGACCCATCCCATGTCGGACCGATTCTAGTCCCACTTCTAAACGTCAACGACAATCTCCTAATGATGTTACTTCGTTACCTTCCCTTTCTACTCGGAAAAGACTGACACGTCATGCACTCCCTCTCCACACTCAGTTTCAGACCACACAATGGACTAAATTCTTTACATTAAGACCGACTTCTTCTACTTCTTCTTCTTTCACATGTCAATACTATTCCTATCACTCGAAAAACATCATTCCCTCAATTCTTGTAGTGGTACTGTTATTCTGCCCCATACCATAGTTCAACAGAATTTCCAGACATGTGGCACTGACATTCTCGAACAGCTGGAACTCCAAGGTCTCCCAATTCTCAAGGTAGACACTTATGTTCTTCCTGCCCATGGGCGAAGATGTTACCCTTGCAATGTGGCTCGTTTAACTTTTGACAGCCGTGAACTCCCATCCTCTGTTTATGTAGCAGGACATCGGTTACAAGTTCGGAAGGTGATCCCTACACTGCAACAGTGTAGGAATTGCTGGCGATTTGGCCACCCAGCAAAATATTGCAGATCTATAGCCGAATGCCCAGTCTGTGGTGCTGATGACCATTCTAATACATCTTGCAGTCAAACTCCCTCTTGCCTTAATTGTCATGAGGCTCACCCTTCGTACTCTCGCCGTTGCCAAGTCTACTTAAATGAGCGGGAAATTCGTTGCCTCAAAGAGGCAGATGGTCTCCCTTATGCTATGGCGGTTTCTCATCTCCGCCTCCAAGGGAGACTGCCCCGTGTTTCTTATTCTCGTGTTTCAAAGCGTCCCCCCACTTCTGGGGGTCACATCTTCTGCAGCCTCCTCTGCGGTTGCCAGTCCCATAGTCACTCCTGTATCTAATTCTTTTGCTGTCCTGGGCTCAGACGTCCCTACTTCAACTCCTCAGTCTGTCCTCACTTCTTCGTGTCCTCCCTCACAAACCCAGGTATTGACAAGACCTCGTACGACACCTCCCAATCGTCCCTCTACTTCTCAGAGGCCCAAAAAATCTCCTTTAACCCCTCCTTCCCTTCATCCACCTCCACATTTTACCTCCCTGGTCTCTTTACCTGAGTCTTCCCCTTTCACTGGCTCTGTTACAAGTGTGGAGGTTCATCCTCCTCCTCTTACTGTGCCTTCCTCCCCTGTCCCCTCCCAAGTTTCTTCCTCTTCTGCCACCTCCCAGGTTTCTGCCTCTTCTGTCCCCTCCCACACTTCTCCAGTTCCCTCCACCCTTTCGCCCCCCCTACCTTGGTACAATCCATTACAGCTCTGATCTTTACTCGAACTCCTCCTTCCATCTCCAATATTGTCTCCCATACGACGTCCCTGAACTCCGAAACACTTGAAGCAATCTCTGAATATATTGCAGAGACCAAACCATCAATGGACACTAATCCACCCTCTGTTCCTTGTCTTTCCTCTTCTCCATCTGCGCAACTCCTTTCTTCACAATGCACCATTCCTTCGCTACTTGAACGTTTTCCTTTGCCACCACATGTGGACTTTTCTAACCCCTCTAGTCCGTAGGTACCCTTACCTGCGGATTTCAGGTATCTTTATCGTTGCCAATCATGGCCTATTTACAGTGGAATATTCGCGGCCTCAGGGGTAATTGGGGTGAGCTTCAGATGTTGCTCTCCCAGTTTTCCCCTGTTGGTGTTTGCTTACAGGAACCAAAATTACACTCTGCCATTATCTATCCTATCTCAGGCTATAATTTATTGTATTCTTCAGATCCTTTTCCTGATGGGACCTTTAATGCAAGTGCCCTTCTTCTACGCACTGATATTCCGTACCATCAGCTATTTGTTTGTACTTCGCTGCATTACACAGCAGCCCATATCCACTTGCATAGGTGGTATACACACTGTTCTTTGTATCTCTCTCCTTCTCGGGCATTATCTATCGCAGATATTGCCTTTCTTGTTTCGTCATTACTGCCACCACTTCTGTTACTTGGCGATTTTAATGCCCATCATTTCCTCTGGGGGGGTCTCACTGTGATTCCCGTGGCATTCAGTTAGAGGCTTTTCTTACTACCCACCCCACCCATTTTGATCCTCGGACTCATCTCTCTCTTGCATCGATCTCTCAGTCTGCTCTTCCTCCGCCACATTAGACTTCACCTGGTCTGTTCTCCCGGATTTACGTGACAGCGATCATTTCCCAATCATTCTTACTTCCCCTTCATATTCACCACCTCTTCGTAACCCACGCTGGCAATTTGATCAGGCAAATTGGAACCTTTACTCACAACTAACTGTTTTTAGTGAGGTTCCTTCTTCGTCCTCCATTGATGAGCTTTTACACCTCTTCTCGTCCTCCGTTTTAACCGCAGCTTCTCATTCTATACCCCAAACTTCGGGCAGGCATTCTCAGAAATGCGTGCCTTGGTGGTCTCCTGCTTGTGCTCGTGCAGTATGTTTGAAACATGCTGCATGGGGCAGGTACCGGTACAATAGAACCACGGAGAGTTCTTGATTTTAAGCAGAAGCGTGCAATCGCTCGCCGTGTCATCCGTGACGCTAAACGCACTTGCTGGCGAGATTATGTCTCCACCATCACCTCTGCTTCCTCTATGAGTGCAGTCTGGAAAAAAGTACGAAAACTGAGTGGTAAATATTCTCCTGACCCGGCTCCTGTTCTGTGGGTTGCCGGTGTTGATATAGCAAACCCACTAGATGTTGCCAATGAAATTGGCAATCATCTGGTCCATATTTCTCAGGGGCTCCATCTATGCCCCTCGTTTCTTTCCTCAAAGTCTGCCAGAGAGTTAGCACCCTTGGACTCTTCTTCTCTCAGAGAAGAGCAGTATAATGTGCCTCTTACACTCCAGGAACTGGAGGCAAGACTCTCAGCTTGCCAATCATCGGCAGCTGGGCCTGACGACATTCATATTTGTATGCTACAACATTTACATCAGTCAGCCCTTGCAGTCCTATTACGCCTTTTCAATCTTATTTGGTCACAGGGAGTTCTTTCACAGCTGTGGAAATCTGCCATTGTTCTCCGTTTCCTCAAACCGGGTACTATGGGACATGAAGCCTCCCACTATCGTCCCATTGCTCTTACCAGTGCAGTTTGCAAAGTGATGGAACGCCTGGTAAATAGACGTTTAGTGTGGTATTTAGAGACACACAACAGTCTCTCCACTCGTCAATATGGCTTTCGTAAGGGCCGTTCTACCATAGACCCCTTACTATGCTTGGATACGTATGTTCGTAATGCCTTTGTGAATAACCACTCGTTATTGCCATATTTTTCAACCTTGAGAAGGCATATGACACAACTTGGAGGTATAATATTTTGGCCCAAGCCCACTCCTTAGGCCTTCGAGGCAATCTACCATCCTTCCTTAAGAACTTTTTAACCGACAGACATTTCCATGTTCGGGTTAATAATGTGCTCTCCCCGGACTTTATCCAAGCTGAAGGTGTCCCCCAGGGATGTGTTCTGAGCACAACACTTTTTCTCCTTGCTATAAATTATTTGGCCTCTAGTCTTCCATCCAATATTTGGTCATCACTCTATGTTGATGACTTCGCTATTGCATGTGCAGGCGCTGACTGTCACCTCATTACAGTTTCTCTCCAACATGCGGTCGACCGTGTTTCCAATTGGGCCACCACACATGGGTTTAAATTTTCTCAGTACCAAAACTCACCAAATTACTTTCACTAGACGCTCTGTCATCTCCGATCATCCCTTGTACCTTTATGGCTCCCGTATCCCTGAACGTGATAGAGTCAGGTTTCTAGGCCTCCTCTTTGACCGTAGGTTATCCTGGAAACCTCACATTACCTCTCTGAAGGCAACTTGTCACAGCCGGCTGAACCTTCTTAAAACCCTTTCTCATCTTTCATGGGGAGCTGATTGTCGAACTCTCCTTCGCCTACATTCCGCCCTCATTTTATCGAAACTTGATTATGGTGACCAGATCTATTCAGCGGCCTCTGCTGCTACTCTCTCTAGCCTTAACCCCATTCATCACCAAGGATTACGTTTATGCCTTGGTACTTTTCGCTCTTCCCCTGTTGAGAGCCTCTATGCAGAAGCGAACGTTCCATCCTTATCCGATCGCCGTGATGCCCATTGCCTTCGCTACTATGTACGCTCTCATGATCTCCGCAATCCTTCCATTTATAGAATGGTCACCAATATTAGTAGACATTCTTTATTTGTTCGCCGCCCCTGCTTGCTCCATCCCTTCTCCCTTCGCCTACATTCGCTCTTGTCTTCTCTTCAATTACCACCTCTCTATGTTCATGTAGCATCTCACTTTTCCCTACCCCCGTTCTTTCTCGCTCCCTTGGTCGAAAGCCCAACTGTCTACGGTAGCTTCCCGCTCTCTTTTTCTTGACCACTTCCACTCTCATTCTTATGCCATTGCAGTGTACACAGATGGCTCCAAGTCTTCTGACAGTGTAGGATTCGCAGCATTGTTTCCGGACAGCGTCGTACGAGGGCATTTACTATCTTCGGCTAGTATCTTTACTGCTGAATTGTATGCCATTCTTGCAGCACTTATCCGTATTGCATCTATGCCTATGTCATCATTTGTGGTTGTCTCAGACTCCCTTAGTGCTTTACAGGCTATACAGAAATTTGATACACCTCACCCCTTAGTCCTCCGTATCCAACTTTGGCTACGCCGCATCTCTTCCAAGCATAAAGATATTGTTTTTTGTTGGGTCCCTGGTCATGTTGACGTACAGGGCAATGAACAGGCAGACACTGCTGTGCGGTCAGCAGTACATGACCTACCAGTTTCATATAGAGGTGTTCCATTTACGGACTATTTTGCTGCAATAGCTACCCACCTTCACACCTGTTGGCAACAACGTTGGTCTACTCTGCTCGGTAACAAACTTCAATCTATTAAACCGAATATAGATTACTGGCCGTCTTCTTGTCACCAGTGTCGAGGTTGGGACACTACTCTCTCCCGTCTTCGCATTGGCCATACTCGTCTTACTCATGGTTATCTCATGGAGAGGCGCCCTGCTCCTCTCTGTGAGAATTGTCAGGTTCCATTATCGGTTAGCCACATTCTGTTAGACTGCCCACTTTATCAACGAGCACGCCTAATATACCTCCAACGTCGTCTTCGCTCCGCTGCTCTCTCTTTACCTTCCCTTCTCACTGATGGACCCACCTTTCATCCGGACTCTCTCATTGACTTTTTGACAACAACTGACTTACTTCACAAACTCTGATGATACCTTCAGCCCTTTCTACCTCAATCTCTTGCTGCCCTCTACCCCCGCACTATCCCCTGCCCCACTGTTTTCTGTAACCTACTGATCATCCCTCCCCCCTTCTACCGCCCAATACCCTCGCTTCCTTCCCTACCCTGCAGTGCTGTATAGCCCTTGTGGCTTAGCGCTTCTTTTTGATTATAATAATAATAATATTGATTGAGCACAAAAAACCACCCATTCAACTATTAAAATTATCCTATAAAGTGCACAGAGTTCAGTAATAAGGCCAGTTTTGAAACAAGAGTCCAAAATAACTTGCTGTAGACATTTCAGGCACTACAACAACATTTCCTCTTCATTAAGCACACACCCACCCCACTTATTTGGTCTACACCTTGACTGCAACTTAAAATTTAATACCCACATCTAACACATTACCAAGGTCTCCAAAACAGTAGGCATCCTCTCCAAGATACATTACTGTGTTCCTCAAACAGCACTGTTTACATTGTACTTTTCTGAAATCTATCCATACCTTACCTGAGGTATTTCTGTCTGGGGATCTACTACGTCAGACCACCTAAAACCATTAACAATTCAACAAAAAGCTGCTGTGCAAAGGATTATCCATTCCAGTGTCAGACAACACCCCCACTTTTCAAAAACGTGAACTGACTTAATATACACAATATGCACTCATACTACTGTGCCTACTATGTATGTAGGATGCTTAATTCCAATATAAACCCTTCTTTGATACTTTCCCTTGATAGCTGCAACAGAACATACAAGCATAACACAAGACACAAAAATCTCTTATTGACATCCACTGCATTCATCTCAACCTGTGTAAAAACTCAGTGCATGTAAAAGGCCCTAAAATCTGGAACTCCCTACCTGAAGCATTAAAAGGTCCCCTCTATCTGCCATTTGATTCAGAGGTATTGTTAAAAAGTACCTCATCTCCTTAATGTAATTGAGACAGTAATACACTGCCAAACAAAACTAGCTTTCTTGACTCATGAAATCGTAATGACACGATTGCAAACAAACCATACTACGGGTGGGGTTTGAACCCGCGGTCAGAGAGTCTCAAAACTCCAGACCGTCGCATTAGCCACTGGGCCAGCTAGCTTCAGTAAGATTCATCCAACTAGGTATATTTCTACACCATAGGAAGGTTAGCATAGGCACCACTGTGTCCACAAATGCAAGTTTTTACAGACGAATCTCCCGCTAGCATGGCTGTGATGAACTCTAGCTCAAGTCACCTCAAAGTCGTCAACATGACTCATGAAATCGTAATGACATGATTGCAAATATACCTAGTTGGATGAATCTTATTGAAGCTAGCTTGCCCAGTGGCTAACAAGATGGTCTAAACTCTAGAGTTTTGAGAGTCTCTAACCGCGGGTTCAAACCCTACCTGTGGTATGGTTTAAAACTAGCTTTCATCTATTTCTGTCCCTATTCTTCCAGCCTTCCTTCATCTCCCATACATAATTGGTAACATATCTTGTCCTGTGTTATTTGTATTGTAATCTTAGTAACTTGCTGTATAATCACCATCTCTGTGTAATCCCTTCACAAAACCAAAGATCATTGTATTAGTTTAAATAATATGTAATTCTTTTGTAATTGACCATTTGTCATTAGCTACCTTTCTTATTGTACTTGTGATTCTAGTTAACTGCATAAGAATCCCTTCTTATTATTCTTATGTCTAGTTCTTGAACCTTATGATTAATTGCCCAAAATGCGTTGCATAATTAGTGGCTTTCTTTTGTGCCTACCATGGTATTAATTCATGTAAACTACATTATTTGTATGGCATAAAGAAATAAACTATTATTATTATGATATATATTTTCTTCTTTCTTTCAACAAACCGGCCATATCCCACCAAAGCAGGGTGGTCCAAAAAGACAAAAGTTTCTCTTTTTGACTTTAGTAATGTATACAGGAGAAGGGATTACTAGCCCTTTGCTCCCGGCATTTTAGTCGCCTCTTATGACACACATGGCTTACGGAGGAAGGATTCTGTTCCACATCCCCATGGAGAAGAATTGTATATTTTCTTCTTTTCACAAACCGGCCATATCTCATCAATGCAGGGTGGCCCAAGAGGAAAAACGAAAATTTCTACTTTTAATTTAGTAATATATACAGGAGAAGGGTTACTAGCCCCTTGCTCCCAGCATGTTAGTCGCATGGCTTACAGGAGGAAGAATTCTGTTCCACTTCCCCAGCAAGTATGCATGAGCATGTTAGATAGAAGCGAATGGAGACAGATGGCTTTTAGGACTTGACGTGCTGTTGGAGTGTGAGCAAGGTAACATTTATGAAGGGATTCAGGGAAACCGGCAGGCCAGACTTGAGTCCTGGAGATGGGAAGTACAGTGCTTGCACCTTGAACACATCGTCCTTGGTGGGAGATGGCCGATGTGTTAATAAAAAAAAAATAATTGGAGGATACAATTAAGAAGTCATTATGTACAATGATTTATTATAACTTCTGTACAAACAGGTTTCATTAAACAAATCCAGTTTATGTGATGATTCACATCCTGTTCAACTCCCAACAGACATGAAAAATTGTAGTAAATGGCTAATGGGAAGAAATAATTGATAAAGAGAAACATATTCCTCTAAGAATAAGAAAGTATTGGCTGGGGGAAATGAGGGTTGCTTTGAGTGAAGTCTTCAGTGATTTTTTTTAAGCTTGACCTAGTTTTAATGCAATAAGGCTTAATTTCAAAATTATGAAAAAAAAAGTGCCTTATTGAGGCTTAAATCTAGGGCACAAAATCTCTAATGGCATCACCCTATTGACCGTAAGTCATGTCACATCCAGCTAAAAGCAATCATCCATTATTACATCCATAGCAATTTAGGTACATCACTGAAAAATATATTGATTGTCAGATGTTTTCAATTTATAGCCTTTTTTGCTAAATGCGACCATGTGAATCACAGTCTAATGGAGAGTGTTGTGGCTGAATTCCTAAATGGGCCAAACTATCATGTGTTGAGATATGGAATGAATGAATGACTAGGTGCTATCCTAAATGCCTAAGAAGACCTACATAAGGTAACGAACACTATAAGTTATGGTGGGGGTGCAGGAAGTGGGGCCACTGGGGGCTTGAGCCGGCATTCAACTCAGAGAAGCATTACTTCTTCCTTTTATACTAAATGAAAGATCAGGAACATATGTGTAACATTGTTGTATCTCATAAGTGAGCAATAATTAGTTTAATTCTCATACACAGATTTACATTACATCTGCTTATAGAGATGAAATAATTTAAAAGAATACATAGAAAGATTATTGTTCTGGTGGACAGTGCCCATGAACCCTTCTTTGAGCAGTGAACAAATGTTAACAGTGGTGTATTTTGAAAGTGAATCTACACATGAATGAAGAGCATAACATTTATATTTGCTTGAAAATATATATTGTATCATTATCTGTCATTGTACTGAACTAGTGCTCTAGATTTTACTATTTCAAGGGTGAGATTTATGTTTTTGACATTTACAAATAAAGTGAAGAGTGCATTTACACAGAATATGATAAATAAGTATATGAATGTTACCCAGATTTCTAATAACAGGCCATTAAAACATTATACGGTATATTTTTTTTAAATAATAATGTGTTTTTAATTTTATATATAATTCCCAATTTTCTTGCTTTCTCACATTTCTGCTTTTAGAAAATAAACAGGAGATAATTATGCTGTTGTGATAATATAACAGTTTAGTTATGTTCAGGTGTAGCTGTATCAAGTAATACACCTGGAGAATGAGCAGAGGAAAGATATATCCTGGAGAATAGAACACGAGCACTGTCATCAAGACCACACTGGCAGCTCAGCTATAGGCTCATTATTGCATAATAAATGCCTACAAATAATTTTCTCCATCTCGTTCCTCATAGTTCATTTCCTAATATTGACCTGGATAATTTGTAACTTTCAGTCTAATATAATACAGTAATATGTTAAGAGCAGTAAAAATTATTCTAAATAAAGTATCCAACAATATGTAGGGGAGAGCAGTGATACATGGAACAGTCCATTTTCATTTTGAAACATTTACCCAAACTGCTTAAGATCCAGGGAGAATTTTGTTGCTGTGATGCCATCATTAACCATTGCTGTTAAAGTTGGTCCACTTATTTTTTCCAGGAAATAATTTTTAAATACTGTAATAGTCAGGTAAGTTTTTTGTTTCCGTTGATTAAATTAATAAAAATTAAATTTATTACTAAGAAATCTTTGTTTATCTTGTACAAATACAGTATATATAGGATAGGATTTTTATGATAGAAAATAAACATTTATACATATGGTGTACTATGGACAGATGTCTGAGGGATTCTATAATTTAAATTGTTACATATCATTGTACAGTGGACCTCCGGTATTCGATATTAATCCGTTCCTGAGAGCTCATCGAATACCGATAATATCGAAAACTGAATCAATTTTCCTCATAAGAAATAATGGAAATCAAATAAATCAGTGCAAGACACCCAAAAGTATGAAAAAAAAAATTTACTACATGAAATATTAAGTTTAATGCAATAGAATAATTACAATAACAATAAAATAATTGACACTTACCTTTAATGAAAATCTGGTGATGATTGATAGGATGGGAGGAGGGGAGAGGTGTTAGTGTTTAGAAGGGGAATCTCCTTCCATTAGGACTTGAGGTAGCAAGTCCTTTTCTGGGGTTACTTCTCTTCTTCTTTTAATGCCACTAGGACCAGCTTGAGAGTCACTGGACCTCTGTCGCACAACAAATCTGTCCATAGAGCTCTGTACCTCCCATTCCTTTATGATTTGTCTAAAATGGGCCACAACATTGTCATTGTAATAGTCACCAGCACGGCTTGCAATAGCTGTGTTAGGGTGATTTTCATCCATAAAGGTTTGCACTTCAACCCACTGTGCACACATTTCCTTAATTTTTGAAGTAGGCACAATGGATTCCACAACTGGCATAGGCTTCTCAGGGCCATCCCCAAACCCTTCAAAATCTTTCTTAATTTCCATACTAATTCTCACCCTTTTTACCACAGGGTTGGCACTAGAAGCTTTCTTGGGGCCCATGGTGACTTATTTTGCAGAAACAAGCACCAAACACAGTGATAATATGGATAATATGGAATGTACCGAATGTATCCTTAGATGCGCGCACACTGGCTGGCTTGTAAACACTGGCACACACGGGGCAGTTCAGGCCACACGTGGACAGGTCTCGTACGAATCGTATTGAATACCGGCTTTTCAATCGAATACCGAGGAAAATTTTTTGCGATATAATGCATCGAATACCGAATGCCATCGAATACCGGGGGTCCACTGTATTTGAAAACACCAGCTAAACCTTTTTGTTGTACAGCTGTTATTTAAATTAAAATGATGGAAATAGCTTCTGGTATTTTAAATGATAGAACTATATGAAATTAAAACTTTTTCTTTCTTCTCAGATAAATCTGAGGCTGCAAAATCTCCCAGTCATTCCAAGATTGTACAAAAGAACAAGAGTGAAAGATATAGTGTGTCCCTCAAAATGGTCCCTGAGGAGCACTATATAAGCTAATAATAAATAATATACAGTAGGTCCATTCCTATTACTGCATTTCTGCCAGTTCACAATTAATTTTTTGTATCCATATCCTCTCCCTCTGAAGGTAGCCCACCTATTAGGGCGACTACCCTTCACTGCCTTTTGCTCTGACATGGCCAGTTATCATGTGATGCAGGAGGGATAATTCCCCTCCCATATGTCTTGAGCTTCTTTTGTTTTATAGTGGACCTCTCTTATTTACACCCACCCTTTACCCCTCCTATTCATATCCTCACAAGTTGCCTTGTGGATGTGTATTATATGATTACTCTTGTGTTATCACTATTTCTGATCTTCTCATTGCCCTGTGTCATGTCTGGACACTTATCATTGCATAAAAAAGGAAATCTAGTGTAGGTGAAAGTGCTCAAAGGTGGTGCACGTGTGATGGATGCGGCCCGAGTCTATGGTGTGAGAAAATCAACAGTTCATTTGAAGACAGTGAGAAGATAAGAGCTTGTGTGATGAATAACCCAAATTGTGACCTATTGAAAAAATGGGACACTGATAACTACAGCTCAATAAAAGCTGAAAAACTGCTGAATGATTGGATTTAGCAGAAAACAGAAAAGTGCACCACTTAATTACCTCATGATCTGTGAGAAAAGAGTCCTTTCGTACTATCAATGTGTGTGAACAGGAAGGAAGTCCTGCGAACAAGTGTACCTTTAGGCATGATGGTTTAATCGTTTCAGAGTGTGCAGTAGGCCTCATGGTGAGCGTGCCTATTTTTTCTTACCCAGTTTTTTACAGGCTTAGAGCTGTTATCCTACCTCAGCTCATTTTAAAGCCCAGCCCTGTCTGAGGTATATTACCACTCCCTGGGATGCAATCCACAACTGTCAACTAATACCCAGGTATCCACTTACTTATGAAGAGAGGCAGGAAGTGTAAGGAAACATGCCCAACGTTTCCACCCATGCCAGGGATCGAATCACTGATCTTTTTTTTTTGTACATGAAATGAATGTGCTACCATCTGCACTATGGGACATTCTCACCACACAGCTGCAGGAGATTTTCCTGCCGATTTGAAGGAAATTATTTCCGAGTGTTGCTGTGCACCCGATCAAGTTTTTAACATTGACGAGATAGGAGCGTTCTGAAAGATGCTTTGTAGAACTTACACTAGTAAATAAGAAAAGTGCACCTGGATTCAAGGCAATGAAGGACCATTTCAGCTTGCTGCTGTGTACTAATGCTGTATGTGACTTTA